GCAGTGGTTCTCAAAGTGTGGTCCGAAGGCAGGCACCATTACATCACCTGGGAAGATGTTAGAAATGCAAATTCTTGTGACTTATCCAGACCTACTAGGGGTGGGACACAACAATGTTTATTTAACATGTTCTCCGGGTGATTCTGAAGCTGCATACTCAGATTTCAGAACCACTAGCTCATAAAATTATTGTCATGCTGTAACTACTTGGAATGTAGAAGTTAAAAATATTTTTTTAAGACACAAGAACTAAACTCATATATTGACTTTAATTGTCTTAAAATTAGATAAAAGAAATTCAAGAAACAATGGTATATGAATAGCAGTATTGGAAAATGAGATGGAGCATCATCAGTGGATCAGCTACTTTAAGGAACTCCGAGATGGTAGGAAACAGATGAGAATGAATCACAAAACACACACACGTGTATGCATGTACCCGCATACACTGAAGTCGAGATCAAAATGAAGCCCAGAGAAATTCCAGAGTGAATAAAGAAAGTTTAGGGAACTCTGTGATAATCTGTAGAATAATTAAGGATATTTATTCCTAGTTGCAGAACCAGTTGGCACACTCTTCCCATTCTCCTTAAAATAAGCTAAAGAATGAAGATTGAATAGATAAAATAATTCTGAAATTTCTCATCTAAATAGTTAATGAACTACTGAGGAGGGCTTATGAAGTTAGGACATTGTCGATCTAAATAAGAGGAACAGGTATTGAGTTAATTCTGAACTTTATGATCCACTACAGATGTCAAAAAATACCAAAGTAACCAAGTTGGTCCAAGAAATAGGGTTGGGTTATGACTACGGCACTTGTGAGCCATTTTCTTCACAAAAACACATTAAAATTATGCTTTGTGATTGTATTGTTATATCTCTCTCTATATAGATCCATATATCTATATCTACTTATCTATCAATCTATGTACATTCATGACTTTGGATTTGGCAAAGATTCCAAATTGAACTTCATTAAAATTTTAAAAGTTTTTGCTTCAAAGAAGGTGAACAGAGAGATCATAGAAGAGGAGAAAATATTTGCAAATCCTATATTTGATAAGGAACTTGGATCCAGAATATATAATGAACTCTTGCAACTCAATAATAAAAAGACAAATATCCTAATTAAAAACCATAGGCAAAGAACTCAAATAGGCATTTCTCCAAGAAAGATACATGAATGGCCAATAAGCAGGTGAAAAGATGCTCCACATCATTAGCCATTAGGGAAATGCAAATCAAAACCACAATGCGATACCACTTCTCATAAACCAGAATGACTAGAATGAAAAAGATAAAGGCAGTGTTGGAGAGGACAAGGAGACATTGGAACCCTCATACATTGCTGATGCCGTTGTGAAGTGGTATAGCTACTTTGAAAAAGTTTGTGGCAGTTTTCTCAAATGATTAAACATAGAGTTATCAAATGACCTAGGAATTTTCCTCCTAGATAGACACCAAAAATAAATGAAAATATTAGCCCATAGAAAAGTCTATACATGAATGTTTAGAATGGCATTATTTATAATAGCCTAAAGGGGGAAACTAACTAACTGTGCATCAACTAACAAAATGATAAACAAAATTCAGTATAGCCATACAATGGAATAGGGTTGGGCCAAACAAAGCAATGAAGTGCTGATATATGCTACAACATGGACAATCTTAAAAATATTATGCTAAGTGAAAGACGCTAGTCACAAAAGACCACATATTATATAATCCCATTCATCTGAAATCCCATAATAGGGAAATATATAGAGAGAGAAAGTAGACCAGTGGTTGCTTAGCACTGAGAGGTGGGAGGATAAGAGAGTGATGACTAAAGGGTAGCAGTTACACTTTGAGGTAATGAAAATATTAAAATTTATATTTAAATAAAATACTTAAAAATCCCCATATCTGTACTAAAACCCAGTGAATCGTACATGGGTAAATTGTATAGTATATGAATTACATCTCAATAAAGTTGTTTAAAAAATGTTTACTCAAGAATATTCACAAGTAAAAAATACATCCAAATGAATGAAAAACTGTGATCCAGATCTGACACCAAAGTATTGAGGGTAACAAAACTAGCAGCTCTACAAACATGAGACAAATATAAAGAAGGCATTGTTCAGGCTAACGGGCAAGACAACAGAAAGAACTGACATCTTAGTACAGCACTTGGGGGAAAAAATAAATGGAAAACTAGGAAACCAGATTTATTTGGAAAAAAAATGAGGTGAAGTGTATACACTGACTGTTTTCAATAAGAATTCTAGAATCATTTAGTACTTCAACATATTTGAATGTAGATTTGATTTAGAGGTAAACATAAAATAATTAAACTGCTAAAAAAAATTCCAAGAAAAAAATCAGCACTTCTAGATGAGCATTCTAGAAAATACCTGGCCAGTATTCTCCAAAAGTGTAAAGACCATGGAAAACAAGGAAAGAAACATGGAGTCTCATAGATTAAAGCAGACTAGAAAGGATTAGTTCCTGGGAAAAAAAAAGCGTATTGAAGGAAAAACTGGTGAAATCCACAGAGTCTGGAGTTCTCTTAATAGCATTGAACCAATGTTAATTTCGTACTTTTGAGAAGAGTGCCATAGTTATGTAACTTACTGACCTTGAGGGAATGTCATCAGGCAGAGTTTCTCAAACAGTGCCCACATTTTGGGCCAGATCATTCTTTGTTGGGGGAAGCTGTGTTGTGCACTGTAGGACGTTTGGCAGCATCCCAGGCCTCTACCCAGTACACGTAAATAGCATCCCAAGCTACTCCATCAACCCAGATTAGAGAATTTCTCTAACATCCCTGGGGTGGGTGAGGGGGCAGCAAAGTTGTCTCTAATTGGGAACCACAGATTACATTCATCTCTAATGTCAACTAACTAAAATAAATCCCTTATCTCTTGGTGGTGTGAGAAGGAGAAGAAACAGACTTGTTCAATGTCTATGAAAATCACTTTTCACTAATCAACATGTTGATATACCAGTGAAGGTATCTTTAGAGGTGACTAACTTATGGCTGCCTGTAGCTCACCAGCAGAAAGATTGTGGTTTTTCAAAGGGTGTTTAACCACAAACCAAAATGACAGCCACTGGATTGTATTACAAATAGGGTGTGAGAAACTCTGTAGACATCAGGAAGAAAAAATACATTTTAAGAAATCTCTACTCAGTTGCATTAACTAACTGTCCACTCTGATGATGGTGATAATACCATTTTAAGGGGCTTCTTAGCTATAAAAATTATTGCTATCATTATCAAGAATGTCTTACTGAGAAGGAAATTACAGCACAGGAATTTCTTTTTGTTTTCAAAATCATAGAGTAAGGGATCATTACTTAAATAAGGAATCTGGAGGAAATGAAAATGAATCAGTGAGTAGGAAGTATCATGGATCTCATTCTCCAGGACCCCTTGACTGATAGCACCCCTTCCACCTGAAAAATTGGCCCCTCTTGGAACTGAGGAAACCTTAAGAAGCCTTTTCATTAAAAACCCCTTTTAGTGTCCCCAACATTCACCTGTTCGCCTCTCAGATCCGGAAAGAACCTGGTGCTTGCTCTTGGATTTGGTACGTGCTTTACCAGCCTCCACTTTCTGTACATCTACTGGCTAGCCCAGGAGGGACCTTCTACACATGCTTTTGAGGAAGATGTTCCGGAGAACAGAGTGTTTCACACCTCCTTGAACAGGCCTCCAAACTCAATCACTATGATCAATTACCCACTAGCCTTCAAACACTGTTTTTGTAATCAGGTGCTTTCAACTTTAGCTGGAAGTGTGAGCTACTTTACTATAAAAATGTAAAAAAGAGAAATTACATTAACGTTCAAAGAGAAGAAAATCTATATATGAATGCATGAAAGCTTAAAATTACAGGAGAGTCTTCATAAAATCCAAGTTGTCACTGCTAAAATATAAATTGTGATCTACTGTCACCATTTCCTTAAGAAGCAAATTGCAGAAAGTAACATTAACAACCATTCTATAACAAAGCATGCATTGCATTGGCTGAAACAAAAACTAGTTATTTATTTTTCCTTAAAGAGCATTCAAGTGAGTTATGTTCATTTTTTATGATAATGAAAGAGAGTGACCTTCTGTCAGTACCCTGTCTGCAATTTTTATGAACTGCAGGAACTATTATACTTTCTCCCTCTTAAATGTCAAGTACAAAAACAGAGATGACACTGCTGGTGGGGATGGAAAATGGTACAGACACTGCAGAGAAGAGTTCGGTAGTTCCTCAAAAAGTTAAACAGAGTTACCACATGACCCAGAAATTCTACACTAGCTATACACTCAAGAGAAATGAAAATATTTGTTCACACAAAATTTTATATGTGAACGTTTATAGCAGCAGTATTCATAATAGCCTAAAGGTGGAAACCACCCAACGGTCCATCAACAGACAAAGGATAAACAAAATGTGGTATATCCATACAATGGTATAGTGTTGGACCATAAAAAGGAATGAAGAGCTGCCACATGCTGCAACACGAATGGATCTTGAAGATTTTATGCTTAGTGAAAGAAGCCAGTCTCAAAAGACTATATATAATTCTATTTATAAGAAAGTCCACAATAGGGAAACCTATATATAAAGAGAAGGTAGATTAGTGGTCATTAAGGGCTGCTGGAAGGGAAGGTGAATGGTAAGGTGGCCGCTATATGGTACAGACGTTCTTTTTGAAGGTATGAAAATGTTTTCCAACTGACTACAGTGATAGATGCACATAGCAGTGAATGTCCTAAAAGCCACAGAACTGTACACTTGAAATGGGTGAAACGTATGGTATGTGGATGATATCGCAGTACAGATGTTGAGAGAGAGAAGGAGAAACTGAGCTCCTACAGCCCTCTCCAGAGACAAACTCTTGGTACCAGCGGTGGGAAGAACACAGGCTCTAGATAACCTTGCGCACGAAGGCTGCCGCTGCGCAGACCTGACGCACGGGGCCCGGATGTGGAGGGTTCGCGAGCGCCAACGCCCGCGCTCTTCCCTTGCACCCAGCTGCCAACGGTCACCTCAGCCTTGGGCGCTTTGCCTGCGGCCATGTCCAGCGACATCAAGAACTTCTAGACTGATTCCTAGACACTCCACACACTCCACTCCAGGCCACCCGCTCCCATGGGCAGTTACCTGACCACTCCCAACTCCGCGCCGCCACCTCTCGCCCAGGGGCGCCGGACGCCGAGGTCCCGGCCCGCCCCGGCCCAGGACGGCTTGCGGCGCCTCCACAGTGGGCGCTGCCTCCGTACCGGACCCTTCCCCGAGGTGCCGCCAGACTGGGACCCCGCCAAACCCCAGAGGATCGTCCCTGAGGCCTGGAGGCGTCTTCCTCCCAAGCTGCCCCCCAAGACCATCATGGGGCCGGATCTTTCCGGTGCATGGGAGAGCTACATGAAACGGTGGCTTTGGAGTGCCCGGCACCCAAGACGGATCTGGAGCCCCGTGACCATCAAGATCACGCCTCCTGAACGGAGTGGGAGCCCCGGGGCGTCCTCTGGTCCGGGAGTCCGCTCTGCAGGCCGTCCACCCTCCGAGGAGCGCCCAAACCCCTGTGCCAAGGAGACCGTGCTGAGGGCACTTACCCAATGCAAGAAGGGGAACAGGAAGTTTGATGGGCCGCTCTGGTTTGAGATTCCAGAGAGCACAACGAGCAGGGGGCGGAACAAAGAGCCCAAGCCATCGGCCTTCAAGCCCCTGATCAAAAATGGAGTGGTCCCTTCCTTTGTGCCCAGGCCAGGGCCTCTGAACAGAAGCCTCCTCTCCTGCAACTACAACGTCTGCAAGGAGAACGCTGATCCCAGGCTTGATGTTCTGTCTGTCGCCCCCCCTACTGCCGGGACAGGTCAGTGCATGCCACAAATCCTCAGCTAGAGATCTGGGAGAAGATGCAGCTCTCCTGGGGTCTCAGGCCGACCTCCAGTGCACAAGAGCGGTGCCAGTAGGGTCTCATTCGCTCCTGAGGATGCCCATCCTGCTGACCCCTTTGACTCTTAAGAGTCAGGGCCCTGCTCCCCACCTCCTGAGACTCAAACCTACATATCTGCTCTCATCTTACTGACCCAAGCATGGGACCCCGACATAGTATCGCTACAGCCCGCAGACCTGCCAACCCCCAAGACTGCCTGTCCTTCTAGAGCCCTCACGGAAGATCGTTGATGTCAAAACCCTTGCCTCCCCTGCCTGCCCACTCCTTCCTGCCTTTCCCCTTGCTTTTCCGGAAGGCATGCTTCTTCCCCACCTCCCTGTTAGCCCAGTTTGCATAGTTCAATATTTGATCTCATTAAAAACAATATTGATATTCAAAAAGGAGCTTTTCATGCAAAAATAAAGGGAAAGTGTGTTCCAGAGGAGCAAGAGCAAGGGCAGAGACTCTACATTGGGAACAATTTTTATTTGTTTGAGATCCGCATAGAAGTCCAGTATAGCTGGAGAGTAGTGCAGGAGAAGATAATAGGAGGTTAGAGACAGACTCTGATGGAGTAACACAAGGCATTGGGGCCATGGCGAAGAGTATGAGTTTTATTCTAAGAATCATGGGTTTTAGGTGAGAAAACACTAATCAGGTTGATATTTTTAAACAAATCATTCTGGTTCTTGTGTGGAGAGTGGATTATCCAGAGGGAGTAATTGAAACAGAAAAAGAGAAGCTCAATACTGTATTTGAAGCAGGAGTTGAGAGTGGTTTGGTTTGAAAGGGAAGTGATGCATATGAAAGATGCACATGAACTTAGGGTATGTTTTGAAGGTGGTTATCATGGGACTCATTAGGACACTGGATGATAGCATTAGCAAAGTGGAGGAAACCAAGAGTCTTAGCTTATTGGTTCAAGAAACTGCACGATGATAGTGCTATTTATTGAAATGAGAAACACCAGTAGAGAAAATATTTGGAGAAATCAAGAAGTCTGTTTTGGTTATGTGTCCTCGAGTACCCACACATTTGTTATCATGGTGGAGGCGTCACTTGAGCAGTTGAAAATGTGGATCTGGAAATCATGGGAAAGCTTGAAGTTAGAGACGTAAATTTAGAAGTCCTGAATGTATGAGCTCATTTATAACACATATGTGGTGCTTAAAACCATGACCTGTATGAGACCATTTATGCAGAAAATGTAGATAGAGAAGAGGGCTAAGGTTGAACCCTGGAGTGCTCCAATTTTAGAGGGTGAAAAAAAGAGAAGGAGAGAAAAAGTCTGAGGGAAAAACAGCCATTGAGGTGGGAGAGAAGTCAGAAGCAGCAGGGGTAGTGAGGGGAGAATCCCAGAAGGTGGAATTTATCAACCGTGTTGGCTGCTGCTGAGAAGATAAGAAAAGAGATGTTCCATCACTGACTTTAAGAGGAGAAATTGTTCTAGAGCGTTGGAGGTAAAAGCCTGAATTGATTTGGAAGACACTAGAGGGGTGGGCATGGAGCCAGGGCTGGGGAAACCATTTGGTAGCTATTCAGTCTCGAAGTAAAGCAGGTAAGTGGGAATGCTGGAGAAAGTTTAATTTTATTTTTAAATGTTCTTTTAAGAAAGGTTAGGGAAGATGTTTCAGCAGTAAAGTGTTCTTCAGGAAGCTCTGGAGGGATGGGCTCTTAGGTGCTGGTGGAGGGTGGGGTGGCACACAGACACTTGACCCATGATAACCACAGGGGTCAGGAGTGGGCAGCATCTGTGGGAGGAGAGGGCCAGCGTGGTGGACTTGGGGTGTGAAGGACATCTGTTCTCTTTTTCCCACGCTATCGGTGAAGTGCAAAACCAGACTATCAGCAGAGAGGGGGAGGAGGGAAATATTTGAAGTTTGAGGAAAGAGTTGAAGATGTGAGATAGAATTCTAAGAGTGGGAAAAGGAACAGAGTGAGAAAATGTAATAGGATTATGAGAAAATATCAAGGGCCCATTGCAGACTTGCGTTCTTAAACTAAATAGGGAACTGGGAAAAATGATTAGGTAATTTTCTGTAAATTTTATTTTACTTGAACTAGTATAAATGAGGATTGAATACACAATTGGTTTTAACCATTATAATATTTTAACCAATATGATATTAACTATTATGCTCCAAAAGAATTTAATAAATAAGGAAGCAGCAAGGGAGTTATGGTCTGTATTAGTCAGGGCTGTCCTGAGAAACAAAACCTGTGCGTGTGTGTGTGTGTGTGTGTGTGTGTGTGTGCAGAGAGAGAGAGAGAGAGATTGATTGATTGATTGATTATAAAGAATTGGCTGAGACCCAGGAGAGCTGATGACATAAGCTCCAATCTAAGTCTGAAGGCAGAAGACTGGTCCCAGCTCAGAGACAGGCAGGCAGAGAGAGAGAATTTTTTCTTACTAAGCTTTTTTGTTCTGTTTGGGTCTTTCAACAATTGCACGAGCCCTGCCCACATAGGGGAGGGCTATCCGCTTTACACAGTGTACCAATGCAAATGTTAACCTCATCCAGAAACACCCTCACAGATACGCCCAGAAATAAAGTTTAAACAAATATCTGGACCACGGCCCAGTCAAGTAGATACGTAAAATTAACCATCACAGAGTGTTTTTAAAGGAGTAATTTTAGTTTGGATCATGGAATCTAACTGGTTAAGCAAGAAATTGATAAGGGAGATAGATAATGGAAACTATGGGAAGAACAAACTATTAGATTAACTGAGGAAGCTGAAAATTTGTCATGTAGTGGTAACTAAAACAAGCAAGGTAGGAGGGCAGAGTGGAAAGTGAATTTTTTGAATTTGGTATTTGAAAAGTTTAATGACGAGAGTCAGAGGTATGAGAATGAGGTAAGAATGAGGGCTAAGAATGAAGATCAGGGGGTAGAAGGGGAGCCAGTAGCAAGGTAGCAGGAAGAATAAGAATGAGAAGAGGAGCACCTGGTTCCTAACATCCATGAGTTTTAAAGTAACGGGGATCTTTGAAAAAGCAAAGAGAAATAATAGTTTGGAAGCAGAAAACATGAGCAAGAAGGGCATCTGCTCTCTTGTCCAAGCTGTGAGGGTCTTGAAATGCTAGAGAAAGAGTGGCTATTCTTCAGCTGAGGGTCAGTGCCTCCAAGATTAAAGAGGGTAGGGAGACTTCTCAGGCTCTGTATTCACATGAGCCAATTCTTTATAATCAACCAATCAATCAATCAATCAATCTCTCCACACACACACACACACACACACACAGACTCTCACACATTGATTCTATTTCTCAGGAGAACCCTGACTAATACACACCCAGATTCCCTTTCTTCTTCCCTGTTTGTTAAATTCTTTTGGAATATAATAGTTAATATCGGTTAAAATATTATAGATAAAACCAATTAAATTTTGAAAACAGGAATTTTAAAAAATGTAACCACACAATTCATGTAAGAATTTAAATTATTAATAAACATAAAAATATTCAAATGTGTTCTAGTTATTTAGAGAAATTTACATACAAACTCTATTTAACCCATCATTGCAAAAGACAAGGTAAGCTAATATCCATCTCAATATATAACTATATGTATATAATTGTATATACACAGACACACACACAATTCTCTCTGTTGCTCTGTTTTGGTGGGTTAAATGAAAAATTTTGCTTAAAAAGAGGAATCACAAAAGTAACATTGTTTAAACTTTTAATGTGTATGTGTATTTATTTGCCAAACTTTTTATGATAATTCAGATTTTCCTTTGCATGAGAGTCTGCTAATTGGATTTCTACATGAACCATATCCATGATATAACATCTTTTATCTCCTGTTTTGATTTCTTTAAGTGAAGCCAGATTTTAGGTTCAGATTACCTGTAGGTTTTTCCCAGTGCTTTATAGATAATTTGCTCACATCTAATGCAGGAGAATTGTTTTGGACAACTCAAATCTTTCCAAACTATTAGTTGGATTTAAAGAAACAAAAGCTCTCTTTCTGCACTTACATTTCATTCTTCCATGAAATTATTAGATGAAATACATCATTATAAAGTGTGTCATGGACTGATTTGGTAACACACTCGACTGAATTTATGTAAAAATGTAATTAAATTGATAGGAGTATAAAGGTACTGGAATACTAAAGAGAGCCTGTAGCAAAGGAGAATTAAGTGCTGATTATGTACCTGTGTTCTTATATGTACATGTGTAAATACATTCTGATCTTTAGCTGCATATATATTTGGATATAGATCTATAATACACTCAGTCTTTACACCGGTGACCATAGAGCAAATCTCAGTATTACCTACATCATAAATAGGCAGACTTTTGTGGCTGTGTTTTTTTTCAGAAAGGTACAAGGCTCTCTTCTTTTTTGCAGAATTTTTATATCCCCGCATTCTCTAGAAAAACAGAAGTTCTAAAAAACAGTGTTATTATACTTTAGAAAAATGTAAAAATGTTTCATATCAAAAATTGCCTTTCATATGCACTTAAAATGTGATGTTCCTAGTTAAATATATGACATTTCTCTAAGAGAATGTGAAATTATTATATTGAATAGCAAAAGTAATAAAAATCATTTAAGCAATTATAACCCTCAACATTTCCTGATTTCGGAAAATAATAATTATGATAATAGCTCACATCACAGGCTATGTTATGCTGAATAAATTTTTTTATTAAACTTTCAAAAAAGGATTATTTAAAGCAATAAAGTAAAATGTTTGGAATGCATAATTTTGAAGGTGCAATTTAATTCAATAGTCTTTTTATGGAATACAGCCTTGCTTTCTCTTGAGTTTCTATCTTTCCTTATCCATTTATGCCCAGCAGCAGTTCTGCATCATTGTTAATTGACAAACATGTAAACATGGAGAGTGGTCCACCTTAAGATCATCAGCAGGGAGAGCTCAGCAGTAAAGTTCATTTCTGTTTGTATTTTGTCTTCTCTAAAATCACAGAAGATCAGTGAGATGTATATCAGATAGTCAAATTACAAAATGTATACAAAAGGAATAAAGAAAGCATGATCTGTGGGAAAAAGTAGAAAGCCACACCTTTAAGGTGAGTCCATGTGTCCTCCAGAGTTAGAACATATCTCTTCCAGAGAGGGACTGATGTAAACAAACCTTATCCAGGGAAGTTGCTCCAGAGGGTCTGCTTTTAAATTTATTTCTTATCCCAGGTCCAGTAACTTAATCTTGAGGTTTTGAGTCCAGATTTTAGCAAATGTTCTCCTGCTAGGGCGTGGGTGTCCCTTGTTTTGCCTCCTGGTAATTGACTCTAGTTACAGTTACTCTGCTTTACAAGTGAACGCCACCATTCATTCATACACTCTTCTGACCTAGGCCTCTAGGTGGTGTTCCGCTCTGTTTTTCTCACTCCTGTGTGGCTTGTCCAGTGTGGCTTGTCCAG